TATACCTTTTTATACCTTTTTATACGGGACGCAATTCGTAAGCAGCGGTTTAATATATACCTATTGTAATACAAATATTTGGGAAGATGTCAGTCATTGAATACAGGGGTGGATAGGTCCATAAGGAAAAAGGGATTTCCCTGTGGGCCCTCGCCCTACATTATGTCGGTGGCCCCTTCAATACCATTATTTTTTTTATGGAAAGTTATTTATTTTTTTTTATAGTTAAATTATTTAAATTAAATTAGGATGAGTAAATATAATACACTTTTTATAAGCAAATTTTATTTTCATTTTGGTGGCCCCATTAAAATATTTCCCTGTTACAAAAAAACTACTTATCCACCTCTGATTGAATATTTATATATTTCCAATGTGTCTACATTTGATTGAACAAGACCAAAATTAAAAATTTACAATTTCTCAGTGAATTCTGAAGATTTTCAATCGTTTTCATATATAATTGGTAAATCTACTGCTGTTTTAATTTGTTGATTTAAATCTTTTTCGACTAACTTATATCTAGAGACATTTCATTTGTAAACGAACGAGTCACATTTGTGAACAAACCGATCCGGATCGCAAAAATATAAAAAGTCATTCAATCCGTTCATTCGCTTTCGTTCAGGTTGCACTGTTTATGAATGAATCGATCCAGAATCAGAATCGTAAATATAGTTATTTGTTAAATTTTGTTTGGGCTATACATAGACCGTTGTTATAAACTAGTTAACATTCCAATCTAGGGGGGAGGGTGTTTCAGGAGATCAACTAAACCACAGTTAATTATTGAAAACAAAATTGGTTTGTGATTAAAAAGTGTATGCCTTCAATAATTTGAAAAATTATACGCACAGGGTGAAATCCCCGATTTCCCCCTCATATATAAGGCCCTAATATTATATATAAGTAAGTACAAGGTACATGTTCTACACTGTTGCTGTGGAAACAGTCGTCATAGTATTAATTATACGTTAAAACCAAAACACAACACCATATACGGCCAGTTACTACTCGTATATATTGTTGAATCATTTTATGTTACTAATTATTAAATAATAATAAGCCATTATTATGGTAGCTCATTTGATTATAAGAATTGTTTAATTAGTAAATTAATTACTTATATAATTATTTACAAATATTAATTTTTTTTTTTATATTTTTAAGAATGAAATCCTTAAATATGTAATATTTCATAGCTAATCAAAATTATGTCAAATTTGAATAACTCAGTTTATTTATGCAAAGAAGTTTTTGATGAAAATAGCAAACCCACAAGAATTGGTAATGTATAAAGTGTATATTTTATTCTATAAAAAAATGTGCACCTACTTAATTATTTTCTTATTATTTATAGAAATTGAAGAACAAGCATCTCGTTTAGGAATAGATCCAGTTAAAGAATTGCATCTTTTAAGTATTGCGAAACAATGTTTACTTGAACCTTTGCCATCTAATTGGATACCTTGGTATTATATAAAAATTATTTACCCTTTATAACATTAAAATAAAAGACAAATTATATTATTCATGTAATTTAATTATTATTTCATAGTTATATCGAAAAAGAAAATAAATATTTTTACTTCAACGATCAAAATAAAATATCACAATGGGAACATCCTCTAGATGAACATTACAGGCAAATAATTGAAAAAATACGTTCGGAAGATTCATCAACTGGTAAATTTAAATTAATAAGATGAGTCATTATTTTCTCGTTTTTCTATATAACGTATACATTTTATTTGTAAATTAAATTTACCTTATAAGATCTATAATTTAAATGTGTTAACCAAGATAGAAGCGTACGATTTAAGGAGAGTATGTAAACTGCGGCAAAATAAAAATTATTATTTAAATTGAAAAATTTTGATTACATCATTACTACATATATTATTTTATTATTACTACGATCTCTTAAAATAATTTTTGATAATAATAATATTTTTCAATTTAAAAAGTGGTTTTATTTTTTTTTTTTATGCCTAATACTCTAAGAAACTTACATTGAGTGTATAATACGAGTATGTATACTATAAACATTTAATAATACATGTTACAAGACAGCGTCTAAACTACAAACGTTATCGATCATGAAATTAAGCCACCGATAAAATATGTATAGTTGCTACAAGTTATATAGACACGTATAATATCTAATTAAACGATACACGTATGTATATTATCGTATCGATATGTATATATAGTATATATAGAAGGTATATGAAATAAATTGATACAGTTTGTATAATGTATCTTATCGATTTTGTCGCAGATTGTATAATGTTAATTTTTTTTTGTCGCAGTTTACCATCTCCTGATTAAGGAAACCCTTAATTGATGATAGGTAAACAAGAAATTATTCAATTATAAACAATAATTATTTCCTAATAGACTTAAAACTTTAAGTTTACTTACCTTAGGAGCATGATAGGAACTAAATTATTAATATTGCCCAGATTTAGCAAGGACCATAGGCGCAATTTCAACTTTTGACTTGAGGGGGTTAAATATATTAAAGACAAGCCGACCCGCAGGGGGCTTTGCCCCAACCCCCATTTTTCACACAATTAAAATAAACTTTTAATCTAATATAGTATAAACTATAAACACGTCATGACAAATATCATGTGGGCTTATCGCCTATTACTGGCATCGTGCGTTTAGTAAAGAGTATCTTATATAAGTATTATTGAATAGGTACCTAAATATACATTTAATATAATATACAATCGTGATCATGACATAATAGCAATAATAAAACAATGTAATAATAATTCATAATAATAAAAGATCAAACTCCCAAGAAATATGTATTAAATGTGTCCAGAAATTTCGTGTTTCGTGTTTAATAATGGTTTTCGATATTTTTCGGAAAACCCAAATACCCAAATTAAGTGTATATAAATAATTTATGAGCCATGGTAGGGATTTAAATAAATTGTAAATTCTATTATGCCTTTAATCTAGATAACATTTCCAAAACAAATATTTCATTAGTTGTTACTTCCTCATAGGCGTGTGTAGACTTGTATTTTAGGGGGAGCCTACAATACTTTTGGGCCCTATCTTAATAAAACGAGTTGGTATATTTAATAAATTATAATGTATAAATAATCAAACAAATGTAACTTTAATTTTTATTTGATATTGTGGTATATTAGTCCCAATCAATATATTTTTTACTTTTCTTTTTTATTTACTATTAAAGAAAAAGAAAGGAAAGCCTCGATGATGGGACAGTTGACTTGTTTTACGTAGGTACTTAATTTTAAACTGCATTGTACAATAAAATATTTTTCATAAATAATAATATATTTTTGATGAATTCTATGTCGTTTACCAGTACGTCATGATGTTGCTCAGGAATGTTGTATTTTTGTCGGGCGTCTTACGTGTCTCTGCGTTCTGTAATAATATGTTTAATCGAGGTTGGGTATCCGCATGTTTGACATATTCTTTGTGGCTCTTTTTCCATGAGATGGCCATGTATGTAATGTGCATGACCTATTCTAAGTTGATTTAATATAATTTCGTCTCTTCTTTTGAGGGTCATTGGGTTATTCCATTTTTCCGTTGTTCTTTTTATTTCGTTTAATTTATTGTTCATTTTTAACCATTCGTTTTGTCATTAATTTTTAAATCTATTAAGGATCATTTTTTTACATATTTGTCTAATTTTATATTCCAGAAGGTTCATTGATGTAGATTGTTTGCTTTTTCCTTAGCGATTATGTCTGCTCTTTCATTGCCAGTTATTCCGCATGGTCCGGATATCCATGAGAAAATTATGTTATTGTTAAAATTAATCAAGTATTTTATTAACGACAGTGGCGTATTTTCAATTTTTTTCTGGGGGGGGAGGGTCCACAGTTTATACATAATTAATATAAACTATATATTATATTGTAATAGTTACGTCCTTATGCAGTTTTTGGAGGAAGTTGAACTAAATATATAATGTAATAATCGTATAGCCTTATGTAATATATATATATACCTATATATTGTATTTAGCATTATATATTATAAAGTATTGTTATAAAATAAATTCCAGTCGTCTCGATTTTTTGGCCAATTCCTCTATCACTTCATCAACAGTAATTTCAACTTCCCTGTGAATGTTTAACATAGCCAATTCTGCAAATATGTAAGAATTTTAGTTTATTTTTTATTTTTTGGAGAGGTTCTTGGGGGGGGGGTCCAGTAGTAAAAATATATTATTTAAAGATAACAATATAATAAAATAAAAATAAGCTCCTTTGCATAGTTAAACAAATCAAAAATTAGGGAAGTATAATTTTCTCATTAATATACTCAAGAAAGTATGGAAATTAAAATTTAGATGGCTGAAGACACTTCAGAAAACTTGACTAGTAACATGTAAATAAATCACAGGCGATTAGAACTATTACTTATTAGACGAATATCATCATAAGAATAGTTGTTGTCAATTGTTTTGAGAATCTTTCGCACGCAGCTTTTTTTTATTGAATCGCAAGTATCGAAATCGTTCGCTCTCTATCCAGGCCCGTAGCCAGACCAAATTTTCAGGAGGGGCAAAGCAAATTTTTGGGGGGGCATTATATATAAATGTATTAAATATTAATGCAATTTTTAATTTATTTACATTGACATCTAATTAAATTAACACAATGAATTACAAAATAAATTAACAATGAAACATATTTTACACACGTGTACTGCTGCAGTCGGCGATAAAATGAAAGAATATTTAGGTGTTCTATAATAAAATGTCAATTGATAGGAAAGTATTGAGCTACGATTACGATAACGTTAGCAATCAATTTGCCAACAGTCGTCGTGACACGTCAGTATCGTCGTCATGGCCCGGAATTTCCGAAATAAATACTACTATACGGCTAAAAAAACTTTTTTGATCTATTCTATTACTGATGAAAATGTTATAAGCCAGAGGTTCCCAAACTTTTCATACTCGTGGCGCCCTTTTAGAACTGAAGTTTGCTCATGGCGCCCTTAATAAAATTTACGACTTTTTTTTAAATAAAATAGATAAAATAAGAAACATGTTTAATTTTCAATAGATAATATGGAAGTATTTATTTTATATAATTACACACTGAAATATTTAATTTTAATTTTATTAGGTAAAATAAATTAGACTTAGTTTATTTGTAGAAAACAATTGAATTAGTGAGATGGATGAGCCTGGACATCACTGCATATTTTTTCAAATCTTGGGATCAAACTTGATACTGCTACTCTCATTTCCTTCTCCACATTGATTTTTGACCGATATTTGCTTTTGATCACAGCGACCGCCGAAAACCCAGCTTCACATAAATATGAAGTAGAAAACGGAATTAAAACACGTAGAGCTTTTTCACATACAAGTGGATATTCATTTTTTATTGAAATCCAAAATTTGGTCAATTCCATATTGGTAAATTTTGATTTCAAGCTACTGTCGCAAGACAACTCAATTAGACTTTCTTCTTCAGTAGAATTAAATTCTGATGGAACAATGGAGTTAAATGGATCTTGAATCCAT